GTCAACACTGGACCTTGGGGCTGCAGACTCGTCTGCTTTTCCCACTTCCTAATTTTGGCCACGTGTGAGTGATCCGCCTGGGTAGTTCTCTCTTACTCATTTTAAATGGCTGTTTCCTATCAGCAAAAAGTCACTTGACTTTTGTTTCTCTGTTAAGTATCTCAGTTAATAGAAAAGGAACGCTCGTCCAATTGAACTGAGTGGGCCTGTTTGGAATTTGTATTAAAAGATAGGAAAAAAGACAAAGAGAAGATGCTCGGTTGGCAGAGCTGGACGGACAGCAGGATTGCGTGCTGTCGAGCGACCAGGGCTTGCTGCTATGGAGCTATTGGATGGGCTTGTATAGTAGTCAGTCACAGACTGCTCGCTCTACCCAGGGCTTGAATCTAGTTAGAGCAGAGTCACTTCCAACTCAGGCCAGCCTCGAGGGTTTCAGAGCAGAGCTCTGTCCCGTAGGATTTTCAGGACCTTTCAGAGACACATTGCCTGGTCTGTCTTCCAAGGGGCCTCTGCGCGTGCGCTTTCTGTAGTGTAATACTTACCCCGTTACACCACTCAGAGACCACTGTTGCTGTGGTTTAATGCTGTCAAGTATGGCTCATTATGACCCTGGGAACAACACGTCTGACCCCTGTCCTGTCCTGGGCCATCCTCATCACGCCTAACACACTCAAGCCCATTGCTACAGACACTGTATCATCAGACCACCTCACTGAGTTAGGTTTATCCTCACCTTCACCCTCGAGGGACTGCTTTTCAGAGGAATTGATATACAGTAGTGCATATCTACTCAGTTCTGGTTTTGGAAGGAATCACAACAGAAGTCCTAAGTTGCTCGATTTGTTGCGTTTGGTCTGTCAAGTAGGAGCATGGAAGCATATAGCCCTGATCGAAGAGTCCTCCCTTTTTGTCTTTTCCTTACATTTTCATTCCCGGGTCTTTGTGTCCCGTTTTAGATCCCATCTGTGTCTGTCTCTCCAGTTTCCACCTCCAGCCCCCTCCTCTGAACACTGGGCCCTCGTACTCAAGTGCCTATAGAGAAGCCTTCTTCTCGTGGCTGTTTCACAGGCCTCTCGACCTGAATATGTCAAAACTAAACTCCTAATCTTGTCCGCCAGCCTCCTCCTCGTGCTTCTCCACAGCAGCTAGCAGCTAAGCGTCCTTCTAATCCTTCTCCTAGCTTCTTCCTTTCTCTCTCTCTCCCCCTAGCCATCTATCAATCCATCTGCCCATCAATCTATATCTAAGTAATGATTGAATAAATATTTAAATAGTGAACACAAGCAGCTCTTTCTTAACTGTCTCCAGGATTCGCACACTTCTCATTACCTCCCCCTCCTGGGTCAGCCCTCCTCATCTCTCATCTGGGCGATTTCAACACCTCCTTTCTGCTCCCCCTCCTTCCTCTTCTTAACTGCCTACTCTCTCTCCTCAGGTCAACAACCAGCGTGATGTCAGTTCCTGCCAGGCCCCCGTTCCAACCCTCGCTGGCTCCCCAGCCCACTTAGAATAAGAGCAGATGCCCTGAGCCTTCCCCAGGAGAGTCCCCAACATCTGGCCCTGGCCACCTCGCTGATGTCCTTCCGACTGCTGTGTCCTTCCTCTCTCTTTTCTGACCTCACTGACCTTTGCTGATTCTGAATCAAGCATTTTTTTTAATTGCTACAGTTGATGTTGATTTTTCTCCCCCACATTCTGCCTAGAATTATCCTCTCCAACTCTTTCATCAGTGTCGTTTCTCTGCTGAAACGTCAGCTTCTCCGTGTCCTCCCCTCCCTCCCCCTCTCCACCACCACACTTCTTGGCTTTGTTATTCCCCTTGAGAGCCACTCTCTGAGGACCAGGGTTCTGGTCTGTTAGGTTCCTGGTCTGTTAGCATCCTCTGTAAGCACCGCCAAGGGCTCCTCACAAAATACGTAGGCAGTGATTTTAAGGAATGAGCATGGGCAAAGGTCAAAAGGGAGAAGACCAATAGTGCTAAAATAGAGAGTGTGCAAGGATGGTGGCTGCTAGGAGACGAGATCAGACATACATATAAAGACACTAAGCAAGTGGAGAGAATTCTGGTAGCCAAGTGGGTAGGGAGTCACACTGCTAGTCTAAAGGCTGGCAGTTCGAATCCACCAGCATCTCCATGGAAGAAAGATGGACAGTCTCCTCTCATATGATTTGCAGCCTCTGTAAACTCTCTAGAGGGTTAGCTCTGAGTAACTTCTGACTTGACATCAGTGAGTTGTTTTTGTTGTAGAAGTAAGTAGAGAAGGAGTCTCAGTGGCCTTGTTGAGAGGGACTTGTGCTGCTGACCCAAAGGTAGTGACTTTCTGGCAATTTCTATTCACCAGCAGCTCTGACGGAGAAAGATGGGCCGTCTCCTCACATGCAATTTACACCTTCAAACCCACTCAAAGGCCAGCTAGGAGTCACTTCCCACTTGATGCTAATCAGTTTTGAGTGAAAGGTTTCATCTGTGGCTCTAAGAAAGGTGGGGTTTGGGGTTTTTGTTTGTTTGTTTTTTAGAGAGAGAGACTGTGTGTGTCTTGAGTAAAGCCTTCGTGTTGAAGAAGATGGTTATTATGCAAGTTAGCAAGCTCTTTCATCAGAAGACCATCAAGGATGTATCTTTCTTTAGAACTAAGAACTCCGTCTAACTGAAGAGGTTCTTTGATTCCGTCAGCTAAACAATCCAAGAATGACCATGACTTCAGCCATAGCTTTTTTTGGGTTGCAACTTATGTCAAAAGATCCATTTTCTCTCTGTCCCAATTTCTTGTTATTTCTTCCTCAAATGCTGGTACAGTCCTCAGTCCCCCTGTGGTCCCAGGATGACCCCAAGATCCCAGAACCTGTATCCTTTCTTTCAGGAGCATTTTCATGGCTTGTGATGGACTCACATGCCCCATGTTCACAGTCACATGTGGCCGTCGTGGTCTGGGGATTGACTTAGACACACATTACCCTTGAGCTAAAGGCTAGGGAACAGTTGACTCTCCATAGGGAAATTGAGGCAAAACAGTTACAAGAAGAAGGAAATAGAGGCTCATAATGGCCAACAGATGACCATTACAAAGGAGCAATTAGGACTCGAACTCGGGTAATTCCGCTAGAAATAGCATGCATCACGAAGATGGACTCAAAGTCCGCTTCCGGGCTCCACATGAGCAAAGGGGAGGACGGAGAGGTCGGAACACCATTCTGGGATTGTGAGCTTGTGTGACTAGGTTTTGGCGATGGTATTAGTGAAGATGCAAGATGAAATAAAGAGGAGCAGATTTCTGAGAAAAAGAGTGCGTTTTCTCATCCTTGTTTTCATTAATAAAATTGTTTCCAGCTTCACAGAACTCAATAGCAACTGAATTCTGCAAGAAGCAGGAGGAAAATTCTTCCACCGACCACTTATTCTCAGAAGACTTGCCCTTGCGGTCATTAAGCGTCTCCTCTGTGAGCCCACGAGTGAGAGAATTAAACTGAAACTCTTTTCTCCCAGTAGTTTCTGTTTCCTTTGGTTGAACTACCCACATCTTCAGAGTAGAAAAGCAATGGGGTTGGATTCAGTGTCTCCTCAGAACCTTTCCACATGTGAGGAAAGTCAGGACAGGCAGGCTGTCTGCTGCAGTGTAGACTATAGTAGATGACGGATGTGGCGCCCGTCTGCAGAACTCGAGGGAGTTCCTCATGCAATTAGCAATTGAGAAATGAGGGTCCAAGAGAGGAGTTAAGACAACACAGAATGTTAAAATGGCACGTGCAAATATCATGGGTTCCTATTAGAGAATTTTATTTGGATTTTATGTTGTTTTTAGGTTTTTGTTTTTAGTGTTTATTATACTCAAAACTCAACTATTCTAAGTTCCTAACATGTAACAACTCAGGTAATAACCCCAGAACCCTTTGTGGTAAGTACTGTTATTATCCCCAATTTAATAGATAGGGACACTGATCAAGAAAAATCGTATTAAGAACAAATACTGTGTAAAACCATTATTGTCAAATGAGTATAAGAATCTAAGGGGGAGGGAGGGTGGAAATAGAGGGTGAGGATGGCTGGGGGGTAAGGTGTTAATCATAGGATTGCACAATTCAAGGGATGGGTGAGGTGAAGGAAATGGGAAGGATCTTTTGTGGGGGGAAAAAACCAAACCCCAATGTATTCAAACTTTGTAAATTAATCAGAGTAATATAAAGAAATTTAAAAAAATTCTATTCATGCATTCAGCTGGTAACCGAAAGGCCAGCACTTTGACCCTATCAGCCACTCCTTGGGAGGAAGATGCCATCATGTGCTGCAGTGTCTATTTCATCCTCGTGAACTCTATGGGCCAGTGCTCTTAAATCTGTCTCCCAGGGTCCCAAGGAATCAGAATTGGCTTCATGGCATGGGTTTGGTTTGGGGTTCTGGTCAAATATATCACAGCTAGTATTCTGTAGAGCTGAATTTCAAATGGAAGCAAACTAACTTAACCATCCATCCCTTCACAAGACTGACCATGTATTTGCTAACTGTTGCCTTGGCATAATTACCAGCATGAACTGTAGGACACATCCCCATTTGGACAATAGATCATGGATGCCTTCCCTCTTAAGACACCGTTTTGCTTATTCAAAGCCAAGAAAATCTAATCTGAACAGGGAAGACATCTGAATGTTGGGCCACTAGCCATGGGCAGGGTGGTATTTTGCACTGAAAGTGACTGACAAAGATCAAGCTTGTTCTTAGCATGAAACTGGCTGAACGTGTTGACATTGGCTTGGTTGTAACTACCAAGTGACTCTGGTCTCTTATGAAGTCTTGATCGATCTGAGAAAATTGTCTGGAAACTCTATGAACTTTGACAAATGTTGATAGTTGTAGAGGGGCTTTGGGCCTTTTGTTCTTAGGGTCCCTATGAGTCGTGCTCGACTTGAAGGCAATCAACAAGGACGACAACAGCAAAGGTGCTAAGGACCATATGATACTTTGGCCAAAATGGTTTTATTCATGCCTTTGCGTCTGACCCCTTCAGGTTTCCGCAGATCTTCAGAACGAAGTGCTGATCAGCCTGTTGGAGACCGACGCCGACGTTGTGGACTATTTACTCCGAAGAAAAGCCTCACAGGCATCGTGAGTACTGCAGTTGTTGTTTGGTTCCGTGTCGGTGTTTTTAGTTTTGTTTTTAATCTCCTGAGTCTTGTGTTGGAGATTGCTATTTCCATTTCTAAAGAATCAGAAAGATTTGGATAACTCCATTGTAGTGCCACCTGAGATGATATGTTGGCAGTTTTCTGTGAATTTGTTCGGTCTACCTAACCAAAAAAATGCTTTGGTCCCAACAGTTCACTTACTACATTGGAAACCCCTTTTCTAGTCCTTCAGTCCCTTGGTTTCTTCTATCCTGTTAACTTCCTTTTGACTGTTTACTTGGGTTTGCGGAGATGTAGTGGGGAGAAGGAACCCTAACTCACTGGTAAGAAATTCCAGGGGTTATAAAGTGCACGAATCATTTTTCTTCTGGAGTCTTGATAGCTCTGCTTATAAAGCAGTGTTTGATGTATCTTACAATTGTAGCCCATCAACAGGAGGGTAGATTGCTGAACCACAGAGACAGCCCCTAACCAAGTGAAGACTTGTAGCACCACCTTGACTCTCTCATTCTAGAAAAGATGTACAACGGGTCCCTGCATGTCGTATATCTATAATGAGAAAAGTGGATGTCATGGCATAACAGAGGTTGGCCACAATTTTTATCCTCCACAGAGAAGCTCTGAATTTTTGTAGTAGTCAGCTTTCAGGGTTAATGCCAACACACATTTCAAGGTAGAGGGAATAAGAGTGTTGAGCATATGGCAAAGTCAATTAAGGAGATAACACTACATCACTAACGAGGATCCCTGTTGCCATTATGATACCTTATGGATACATTATGGACCTTGAAACTCTGACGTTATTTCCTCACGTCATTTGTATCATATTTCTAGTCTACTGGATTTTAACAATTCTAAGGTGCATTTTGTCACTTCTGAATCTAGGGAGAATCTTACAATGACTTGTCCTAATTTATAGCAGAGTATTTTCATTCTTGGTTGGGTATAAAATCTTTTTATGTTTTATGTCTGATGATTTCATAGTAGCAATGACATACATTAAGTGATTCCTATTTCAGTTCCCTCTAGAGCTATTTTAAATATAGTAAATTGCTAGAGAAATCTTGTGTAGAGAAATCTTGTGTGTGGGGGAATTCTAGTTCGTGAAACCCCTATTCTTTCCTGGGCCTGTATGTTACTGTTGTCAGGAGCTGTCAAGTCAGTTTGGACTTACAATGGCCCCATGCATTATTGTCCTGTAAAAGTTCCTACGATGTAATCTTTACTGGAGCAGATCTCTAGGTTGTTTACCTGCAGATCCCCTGGAAAGGTTCAAAGCACTGACCTTTCGGCTAGCAATCACGGTCGTTGTCGTCATTGTTGTTAGGTGCTGTTGAGTCCACTAAGACTCATCATGACCCTACGAACATCAGATCTGAACCTTGCCCTATCCTGCGCCATCTTTAGCATCTCTGATATGCATGCTCAAGCACACTGTTAGTCAAGCCATTTTATTGAGGGTCTTCTTTTCTTCCTCTGACCCTCAACCTTTCCTAGGATACCACAACACTCAGCTTTACCCCATTTCTTAACTTACTGCTTAGCAGAGAACTTTTAATTGGGTCACGCTTTCAAGCACATCTTCCTGTATGTCCATCATTATTACGGTGAAGTCAGTCTGGATTCAAGTTCAAGTACCCATTGAGTGAAACTGCCTTTGAATAACTTAAAAGGGCTGGCATCCCATGGTCTGACTTTGCATATCAGAGTGGGGCTCAGTTAAGTTTTTTTTCTGGACTCTTAACCTTCATCAGGGCATCAACTCTGATTACCATTAACAAATAACAAATAGCAGACCACGTATGTCCAGAACATTAAAGAACCGCTTCAGTCTCCCTCCCTTGGACAAGAAAATAGGCACGGCAGCATTTTTCTTGGTGAATCCCCCATCAAGCTGCATGTATCACATCACCTGCTGAGGATCCCGGGGGAATAGTGTCGCTAGATTCATAGCTCTGGGCGGGGTCTGAGAATCGGCATTTCAGACCAGGACCCAGGATCCACAGCACCGTAGGTCACCTAGTTCAAGGCCAGAGCCAAAACCAGAGCCCCGGGTTCAAATTCCAGTCCCACTGCCGTTAGCCGTGTGGTCTTGGGGAAACTCATTAGTCTCCTCCTGCCTTAGTTTCCCCATCTGCAAATAGGAAACAACAGTGATGGAGCCCAACTAAAAGCACTGTACTCTGTTGTTTTATTGGGGGGGCATTTTTAACTTATTATTAATTTTAATTAAAATTTGCAGAGACTTTGGATTTCCATTCATTCATTGTTGCACTTTTCTCCCTGCTCCCCACCCCCACCCCAAGTTAGCTCTTCTTTTTGAAAAGTTAAAGAAAAAAATTTTCATTGTTATACAGTCCCTCCCCCCAGGTCCACTCCACTATGCAGCCTTCGTTCTGGTCATGACAATAATACCTAATCACATATCCCTTTTAAACAGTTCTCTCCCTCATCTATTTCAGTGCAGTATGAATAGTTTCTAGTGCCTGTAAATGATTCAGATTAATGAGCACTGTCATATGACTTCAGATAGCATCGTTTTATTCATTTTTAACCACTGGCCAAAGACTTAGGAGCCTCGCTGCAGTCTACCTTGGTCTCCACCTGATAGCCATGTATGAAAGCTGTATGGACAAGAAAGGATCCCTTCACTTTGAGCTGTGGCACCTACACGCAGAGGCCATCTATACACGCGGGATCTCCCCTATACACAGGGAGATGCTGTTGGTTATGGGATGGAGGACTGAAGGGCTAACAGGCCAGGCAGATTTCAGATGGATTTTGAGGTGATAGCATGCTTCTAGGTACTGAAATAGGGGACTAAGATGAGCCATGGCATAGGGCGAATAGACAAAGCTCTTGTTTTGCAGCCTTTGCTTAGGGAACAATTAAGCTAAAAGTTTGAGATCCAATTGTCACACACACACTCCCCCCCTACACCTGGGAAGCTTCTGCCCTCTCCCACTGGTCCACATACCTAAACCATGGGATAGATTCCTGTAACAGCAAGTGCAAACTGCCCAAGATTTTATTTGCAGGGACAAAGAAGCAGATTTTCAAGGATGTCAAAACCAAGGACAAGAAACTGTTTATTACAATTTCTGTTTTGCGAGATCAGACATCTTGTGCCCTTCTGGAACGTAATGTTTTGTTTGGTTCGTGTTTCCCCCTTCTCTGTGCAACGTTGGGAATTGGGGGGAGTGAGAGGAAGATTTATCCTTTCGTTCTGGTGCCTGTCCACTTAACATTTTTGGCTTCCTTCAGCACAGGATGCCAAAAAGATATGTAAAAATATTTTTTTTAATTCCCAAGGATGCAAAACTGCCAGTTTCCAATTGCTTATCTGGCATACTCATTACAATTATATGCTCTTTCTTCTAACGGTCCTTAAAATAGATTGCCTGTCCCCTCCGTCTTTGACATATGGATCTATGGAAATGGGACATGAGAATGGCAGGTTATCAAAGAGGACTGGCACATTGGATACAGGAGTTTGCAGAGAAACAAAGCTATCTCAGTAGGACAGGGGTCGGGTGGGGCCTGGTAGGGCCTCGTGGCAGGCATAAGAATGGAAGGGACGTCACAAAACTCAGCCGTTAAAAAAAAAAACAAAACACAAAAAAACTCAGCCGTTGAAATGGTGTTGGGATTTAGCTTGAAATGGTGTTGGGATTTAGCACTTATATGATCAAAATGAACGCAAAATATCCAGGAGGGATAAAATAGTAAACATTTTTTAGAAAGACTACTGCCACTCCAACCCGTGTTGGAGCCCAAAGCCAAAGGTCAGATGAAGCTTATGTGGAAGCATCAGCACTATCTTCCAAAGCTCTTCCTTCTTTAACTCCTTTTCAACCAAGACAACTGCCTGTTTTGACAGTTTTTCTTTCTTTAACTTGAGCTGAAATCAAGAACCCCTGGGTTGGACAAACAGTTGCATGCTCTCAGCTGCTAAAGGTTGGAGCCTATCTAGTGGTGCCTTGAAAGAAAGACCTGGCAATCTATTTTGGCAGAAATATTTAACCTTGAAAGACTGTACCAGACTTTCCATGTTTCAAATAATTTTCAACTGCTTTAATGTTTAAAGGGTAAAAGTTAACCATTCAAAAGGCCATAAAAAGCAGACATGTAGGGGCACACATTTGGGTTTTTTTATTTGTTTTACTTCGAGCTCCAGGGTTCCCTCACATTCTGCCTCCAAGGGTTGCTTTGTAAAACTGAACATGATTGACTTGAAAACCCTCCCTAAACCCAGAACTAGGGAGCTTCCAGATCAACTAGGTCCAGCTCCAGTTCGAGTCATTTAAATATGGATCTGAGCAAATGAAAGAGCACTAGCAACTTAGTGGCTAAGATCCACTGGCCGCTACATGGAAGAAGGATGTGGCCCAAAACTTCTGTAAAGATGGCAGCTCTGGAAACCTAACGAGCGACTTCTCTGCCCTGTGGGCTCGCGACGATGAGTCAGAACAGCCCAGACGGCAGTAGGTTCAGCTTGGTTTGGAAGGATGTGCAAGGAGGCTCTGCCCTTCCCGGGCAGCCATGCCAGCCTGCGCAGGAATATAATGTTAATTGCATAACACCGTCGCTGCCACATTCTGCAAACAAGATCAAAAGGAAACCAGCTGCGCTGCATTTGGGAAGAAGGCCCAGATGGAGGAAACCACCCCAGAAGTCTATCACTTTCAATGTCTTTGTGGTTAAGTCCTCTAATGGCCTACATAAACTTTTTACTGATTTTGTTAAGCAAAAATGGGGGCGGGGGCAAACCTGTTACTAAGCTAATCAGGACCACAAAGACCATGTTGGTCCAGAAGGTTGACGTCCCAGCCCTGGAGAGGAATTATTTTGCTCAGCTTGTCAGGGACCAAGTCCAGAAGTGGCAGGCTTTCCTGTGACTTAATGGTGCAACGTTATGGGTCGAAATAGTGACCTCACTAGTGAGTCAAGCATTTCTTTTCATCTTTAGAAGTTCATGGA